TCCGCAATGAAACGACGTATTTCGTTTTTTTTTATGTAATGCAGGTAACCAATAGGGAGCTTCAAATGTTCAAAGGAGGCCTTAAGCTGAGCTGTGGTAGTGACATGATTGTTTACTTTATGACTCTCTAGTTTAGTTTCGTTTAAACATATTTTTATGTATTTAAGCTGGGGTTACTGTTTAAATCTATATTTTTCACGATTACTTATGAAAATCAAAAATATTGCATTAAAACAGTTCGACGTAGTCTTGTCATCGGAATTTCCACTGTATTTTGGTAAAAAGACGTACCAAGTTAGTTATCAATTCTCAGACTTTCTTTTATTTTCATTTGTATTTTTATCCCCAAATTAAACAAAAATTGATGATCCACGAAAAATTGTATTCTTAAAATGAAGATTAAGTTTTTATTGTATGTTTGAGTGTTTCTATATTTCACGTCTCATTTAGACGTGGATTGATTGATTAATTTAGATGATTATTGTTTATTTTGTTTGCCATTATATAAATTACCTCGAACAGGTGTACCAAAGAGAACAAACAATACGCAGACTGTAATATACTTTTGTTCCATTGTTGGTTTGATGTACAATGTTTGTTGTATGTATTCAATACTGCAAAAAAAAGCACCCAATAAACTCATGTGTACAAAACGGTAAGTAGACACAAAACGACTCAAAAACTATGAGGTAAAAAGAAAAAAAAAGACAAAATCGAAAACAAATTGGCAACGAAATATGAATATAAATAAAAACCCGTACAAAATGGATATTTAACGATCGGATCAAGCCAGGTTTAAAAGTCAAACTCTTTTTGTATTTTGTTCGAAAGTTGAAGAGTACTTAAAAAACATTCCAAAAGTTGTGCCAAAATAAGACTTTATAAGGCTTTCTATACATCTGAGTTGAAATAAAGAAACATAGTAATCAATTTAATTGATTAGAATTTATGAACAAATAGATTTACAAGATGACGTATGATGATATTCCATGTCAAAAGACTGGTGACCATCAGGGACGATTGTCTTCATAAATCGCCACAAAAGTATTTTTCACAATGATTAATTTCTAAATGGACAATTCCAAAGTTCCATTTGAAAGTTGACAATATTCAAAACAATTATGAGAAAAGTAAAAATATAAATTAGTTGCTTTCATTCGTTTAACTTAAATTCGAGTTTATAGAACTATGACTTATCCATACCAAACATTTAAAATCTGCAATTTAATCACAATAAAGTTATATTGGTACTTACATGAAACATATATTGTATCTGTGTAACTTATTCCCTCGGTATGAACCTGTATCCGTATGGTTAACATGGTTAATGTACGTATTTATATAGCTAGATAAATGAGCAAGTATTTGTTACAATGATAAATTTCAAAATGGACCAGTTAAAAGTTCCTTTTGAAATTTGAGACTTTTCAAAACAATTATCATATGAGCAACAATTATTTTGAATTATTCAAATAAGATACACGATTCTACAGACAAAAGTCATGCATTGCAGTTGCTTCACGAACAGATAGATAGGTTTATTATAAACAAACATTATGTCGATGATTTCAATTTAGTATCTTTCATATATACGTAGGACTCCGCTGAAGTGCGGTGGACTACGCCGAAGTGCGATAGTCTGTACGCTGATGTGCGATGGTCTGTTTGACTCATGATTGCTAGTTTTAAATCTTCCTACGTGTTTATTATCATTGAATAGTAGATTTTTTTTTATAGTTTTAGTTAGTATATAAATTAACATTCATTATTGTTTATGGCTGTCCTTGATTACAGTCCAATACTAGATGACAGATAGTCCTAGTGGAAAGTAAATTTTTCTCTCGATATCTACAAAAGGTTCTGTTTTATGTACGATGGAGCGTTACATTCTCTAAATACATGCGGTTCCGAAGACAGACTCTCCTCGTTATAACATTACGGTAAACGAGGAACTCATGATCGAAGAAACGTATAGATAAAATACAGAATTATATAGAAATAAGAAGATGTATAAGTCACTTATCGACTTAAAAACCTTAACAACTGCTTTAACATACAAATTAACATCTACATCGGCATGAAAAGCATTGGAAATGTAGTTTGTGTAGACCCTAGCACTACCACCACCGCACTTCGGCGAAGCTATCAACAAGATAACGTCACAATGCCACCAACGCCCTTCAGCGTGATTAAAACCACACTTCAGCGTAAAACCATAGCACCTCAGCGTGACCATTGCGGTTCGGAGTACCATCGCGGTTCAGATTCCTACATATATATGAAACATAAATCAGTTGTTTAATGTTCGATAACATAAAAATTGATTTATAGAGTTATGTTTTATTCATACCAAAAAATCAAATTCTACGATTGAATCACAATCAAGTTATAACATTGGTACTAACATGGAATATATATTGTGTCTGTATAAGCTATTCCCTCGGTTTGAACCTTTATCCTTATGTTTGATGTGACGTATTTATATGGGTAGATTAACGAGGTCATAAATGAGCACAGGGCACGTACGCATATTTGTTTATGTTGATGTTTTTAGATAGTATTTGAAAACCTCATGTGTTTTTGAAAATTTACATCAAAAACGAAAGTATAAATTTCCACAAGGTTAAACTTGATAAAGTTACGATACTGTTGTCAGCTGGTCATTAAAGGTTGCATATTATGGCTTTAATATTGATTCACTTATAGGGTCTTTCCAGAAATAAACACATGTATTATAAAACCAGTTGTTGGCATGATAAGGGTTATGTTATTCTCATATATTTTATGATGGTATAATACTGAACCCCTAACGGGAGGGATTGTGCTTGATATTCATATGATATTCATATGATGAAGACATAATCTTTCAATCCGTTTAATTGAGGTCTACAGCTGGCATGTCAGTAACTGCTAGTAGTCCTTTGTAAATTTATGTATCATTGTCATTTTGTTTAGTTTCTTTTGTTACCTATTCTGACATCGGGCTAGGACTTCTCTTAAACTGAGTTTTACTGTGCGTAAAGTTGTGTGCTTGTTTTTTCTACATTGGCTAGAGGTATACGGGAGGGTTGAGATCTCAAAAAACATGTTTAAACCCGTCGCATTTTTGCGCCTGTCCCAAGTCAGGAGCCTCTAGCCTTTGTTAGTCTTGTATGATTTTTAATTTTAGTTTTTTTTTATATATATTTTTCGAGTTTAGTATGACGTCCATTATCTCTGAACTAGTATACATTTTTGTTGAGGGGCCAGCTGAAGCACGCATCCAGGTGCGGGATTTTCTCGCTGCATTGAAGATCCATTGGTAGCATTCGGCTGTTATATGCTCTTTAGTCGGGTTGTTGTCTCTTTGACAAATTCCGCTTTTCCATTCTCAATTTTAGTTATTCAGACATGCTTTAAGAAAGTGCATTAGATACGAATTTATTTATACAAGCATTCATGCGTACTTTTCAAGTTAAAATTTAATGCCATTATTAGAAAACTCTGCTTCTCTGAGAATGACTGGGGTAGGTTCCGGTATGAAGTACGATGACATTCCCAGCTTTATGACTTAAAGTAATTAATGATGTACCTTGTCTTATTATCAATTCAGATAACAGTAATAGAATTTAAAATTTCATACAAGATATTCAAATGGGAAAAGACGCTCTTTTCCTACACTTAATACACTTAGATGTTTCACCGTTTCCCTTGCATATTAATTTGTTTCTTATGATTTTTGTTATCGCTTTGGTATCTATCGTCTCTCTTTTTGTATCTAAAGCCTTCCAACCTAAACTCAATCTCTATATGTTGTTTTCGACTTCCCTCTTTTTGAATTGAACTTGGAGCTCGGTATTTTTGTTACATTTATATCTGCATGACTAAAGCAATCTGACCTTATAAGACATAACAAATGGGGACTATTTCTTATATTGTGGTTTAAACATAGGTTTTACCACAGCAGGACAAGACTAGTGTGACCTAAGAAGACCGCGATATATAGTAGAGACTTTTAAAGAAGTTATATAGTTAATTATTAAAAACACATAAGAAATTGATATAAATTTTCGAGGAAAATTTGGATTAAATTATCTTCAGTCTCACTGTGTAACAAAGTAAATTTTCTACTGACATGAAGAAATGGAATTAACGTGAATATTACGTTGACAGCCCCTTCTGCACCCCCCATAAACACGACAAAATAAAATAATGGCGTCAATAGACAATTTTAGCAAAGACAACCGAAAATCTGTCGTAAACACTGGACCTGTAATCCATTAATGGTAAACGTTTGCTGTTTGTCATATTTGATTATCATTCATTGTTGTGGTATAGATATAAAACAGATAGTCAGGAACCTGATGTTCAGTGGTTGTCGATTTTTGATGTGGTTTATAAGTGTGTTTTTGTTTTGCCCGTTTAATAAGATTAGACCGTTGGTTTTCCTGTTTGAATGGTTTTACACTTGTCATTTTTGGACCCTTTATAGCTTGCTGTTCGGTGTGAGCCAATTCTCCGTGTTAAAGGCCATACTTTGACCATAATGGTTTACTTTTAAAAATTGTGACTTGGATGGACAGTTGTCTCATCGGCATTATTACCACATCTTCTTATATCTACCAACAATAGTAAATCGATGTTCAAATCTCATAGCTTGATTAAATGCACAAATAAAGTAAACAAACACATATGGCTGCTGGTTTTCATTATTTAGAACTTTTGTTCACATGTTTCGTACTAGACCCATTTGTAGTTTAATATATGGTATGGATTTTGGTCATTATAATTGTTGTAGTCCGTAAATTAACAAGGTTACAAGGATTAAAATTATGTGCGCCTGACGCACGTTTGTCTAAATATCACCAGTCAATTATGTTATTGACAATCATACCACATCTCCTTATTTTTATACTAACTTCTTCAAAGTAAATGAAACACAAATATGTATGATAACTTGTAAGAAACTTAAAAGGTATTATGCTACATTCGAATAGTAACCTAGAAGAATAAAAAAAATCTACAAAAAAACTATTTAATCTCTGAAATATTCTAATAACATTTGCTTGTGTGAGGACTTTTATATTTCAAATAGGTGCTTTGGTATCTGAAAAGTACAAGTGGAAAAAAACATCGGTACAATTTAAACAATATATTTAGTCACTTGACTTCATTTTATTTTTTTTGACAATCAATGTCATTGTCTGAGCACCCTCCACTAAAATAGCCGACTATCCCGCCAACTGTTGCGCCGATTGCAGTTTTTGCACCAACGCCTAACCCAACAACTCCTGCAGACTGAAGGCCAGCAACAACTCCTCCGGCAACTACTCCACCACCATTTGCAGCAGCTGATATTGCCATCGCCTTAGCTGCTAATGACCCAGCTATTATACCAGCACTGCCAAAACCAGCAGCACCAATTGCAACGGGTGCTAAAGCTACTGCACCCATCCCTATTCCCAATGCTCCTCCAACTTTCTTTGTAATACACCAATAATCATCTGAAGTCCATTCTTTATTTTCTTCCGACTCTGCATCGCCTATGAACGTACAATTACTAGTAATCAAGTTATAAAAAACATGCGTTTGTCTTTGGCTGAATGTAAATAAATTAGATGATTAGATATGAGGGCATTCTTCTATTAGCTACTTATTTCGAGTGTATAAAATACTGTTACTATTGTCTATAAAACATTATTTAAAAATGTTCTATTGAGTACGGTTCCACCTAGTAATTTGTAATTATGGAATCACAGTCCTTTGAATAATTCGGGATTGACGAGTGCAAATGCAGTTTTAGTGCTAACGCAAAAAATGAGCTTATGAAATGGTCTTTGCAATCTTCAAATCCCAGTCGACGGTCACATATCAAATACAGTACTGTTGTTCCTATTCCATTTCAATAATTGTACGATATTGAAAATGATACATTTGAAATATTGTTGAAAGGTCGACCGTGATTGCAAAACGTTGTTACAAATGACAAAGACCATTAACAGAAGTTATTCAATAAAACTTACGTTTGACATCTAATTGCACCAGAATAAATTTGTCAAAACCACCGAAATATTAGTAGTAGAACACTTAATAGTGACCGAGACGAAACGATAATTTTAGTTTTTTAAGTAGTTTAGGAAACAAATACATAGTGGGCACCTTCACATGTTCAAAGGAGGCCTTAAGCTGAACATTGGTAATGACATAATTACTTTTACTACATGCCTCTCGGACTGTCGAGACAAATATTTAGATAGGAATCAATGTATTTTATTAGCTGTTTAAAGGGAAAATTCGCGATTTTTTACTTTTCATCTTATTATGTTCATAATACCATAAAAAACATATTTACCAAGTTTTATCTGGATATGAACACTAATAAAGAAGAAAATTGGGAATTAATAATTTAATTTATTCCAACTTCCTGACTTATGTGACGTAGTTTAAGTCTTTTTGCATGCCGGGAGTGAATAAATCTCGTTGTAAGTCTTGTTCGTTAATCATCTAATAACGCGATTTAAAGCGCATCGACGACTTTTGGCGTAGCTATTAACCAACTAATAATTAAGAAAGTAAAGTGATCCGCCGTGCAACTTTCAAAATTAAAATGTACAATTTATATTTAAAGGATTTCTGATATGATTAAAGTAATAAAAGTAAATCATACAATAGAATATATTTTCATGAATTTTTTTTTCCGACGGATATTTTGAACAAACATATATAACTGATATTGTTTTACAAATGCATGTTTGTATTCTCACCTGAAGTCTTTTACTTCAGTCTAGTACTGTGTAAATACAATGTGTATTGTACTGTGACACTAAGTGACCACCTGTTGAATGCGTGGTTAAATTCAAGGTAATTAAAAGATTAGCATTCTGTAATTCTATTCTTTTGATCTTCACTCAGTGAATTTTAGCCAACACGGTTCACCGTTAAAGGTGTGAACAACATTTCGTATGAATGATAAAAACATTAATTATTTGGGGAGGAATATGGTGGCAAAATACCTGAATCGCCGTTATATACAATACATGTATATCTTTTATATTTTGCGTAAGCTTAATTTTAAAATAGATAGGTGAGTATTTTGTTGTAACATCGAAATTCTGAATTACTTTCAATTAAATAATTTTACAAATAAAAATGGCCCACGAAAACGAGCGTATAAACCAAACACTGTACTTACTTTTTCAAATTATCATGGGTATTAACCGTGAATATATCAATGTTTAGAGAAAATTATCGCGGTTACATGATTAATATAGCTTGGTCCGTCCACAGCGATCTACATTTACCTAATCGGAAATGCCCTTATTAAAATATTTAAAATCTCTCAACGTATACATACTATAGCTATTTGACCAACGATGTTTAAAAAAAATAACAGAATCAATCTAACGTCAACTTTCCTTTTTTGAATGGAGACAGACCGGAGGAATCAATTTTCAATGTGCTTTATATCTTGTACCTTTGCAAGACTTATCATTCATTCATAAACCCACTTTATACCAGAGACATATATGTCAGTCTTAACTGACAAGAATACACCTAAAGCGGACAAGCAGTATTTTCTTTAAGTTTCTGTGATTTAATACCAAGAAAGAAAAAAATCCCGAAATTAATTTGATACTTTGATACTCAATATTTTTCCTGGAAAATATTCATATCCTCGTTTGGTCTGAAAATAAGATAAGAATTTGGTATACAGAACATGCAGAAGTGTGAATGTCATAAAACCTTGTTATATCAGAAACCATTATAAATGTGAACCTGTATACGTAAGACCTCATGGGACGTCACCTAACCACATACAGGTAATATACAAGTAGCTCTGTTATACCCGGAAATGTCAAGGTAAATCACTACCGATACAGAATGTACCAATGCAAAGAAAATTCTGATGATTGTGAAGCATGACCATTCATGATTTTAGAGGAGTCTTCGGTGGAAATTGCCGGTACGATTTAAATTCTGACTATATTTTTTTCTCTCAATTTAAATCACTGAACTTAAAAAAAAAAAAGAAACATACGCCCAAGATCAGAATTCTTCATGTAAATTCATAAATACAACGTTCTTATTTTGTAACTTTCGATATACTTCACCCCCAACCACCGCCCCCTCCTAACCTGGGAACAGTATATCTAACATTACAATGTTTGTGTACCTGCCCAAATAAAAAAAAAAGATGAAAAAAGAAAGAGATGAACGGTAAGTCACATCAGATTCAAATATTTATATGGTTGATTGTCGTTAACTAGAGATGTAAAGTTACATGTCTCTGCGTTAACTTATAAGAATGACAGGAAAGTATATATTTGAAATAGATTTATGATGAATAATATGCAACTGCAGCACCCCTTTTTATCAAAGTGTACATGCATGTTTTTTAATGACTGTCCGTTATTTCGATTAAGAATGGCAATTGTACGTGAAATTCTATAGTTGCCAGTGAGACTTTTTTTTACCAGATATGTGACTTTTCGTATTTATATTTTCTCTTATATTACTCTCATTTAATATTTTATGCATAAGTGCAATATTAGGAATGGTTTATCCCCCCTCCCTTTTAAGCTAACTAAATAAATTAATCAACCTTCTAGCTGACCAGACGTTAACACATCTACTATCAGTCAATTCGGAGTGAAGTTTCTTTATTTCTTCAAATAAGCTTTTTGGGGATCATTAGTGTACGTCCAGTGGCATATATATTACATGCATGTCGGAACAGGAAAATTGACATGAGGTATAAGAACCATGTTCACATTATTACATTATTATATATAATACACAACCATTGAGATGATGACGACTTTCTTAAACTGTTCAAAATAATCTTATGGAAATAAAAATCTGTGATTTTACTATGTGCATAACTTTGATGAACCAAAGCAAGTTAGATATAAATAAATAAAATAAATAAAATAAATAAAATAAATAAAATAAATAAAATAAATAAATAAATAAAATAATAAAATAAATAAAATAAATAAAATAAATAAAATAATTATTTTATTATAGTGTCACATATTTGATCAAACAATATATATATATACAACAATTCATAATAAAAACAGAGATCAAATATCCAGCCTTAGAATAGACTTATGAGACACTTAGATATCGACCTGTATTTAAATCAGATTGGTTTTGGATGTTTCTCTCGTATATTCAATACACATGTATATATTCTAAATTGTGACTATCTATAGTTCCGTAACCTTCTATCTAGGCGTATAATCCAATGACCGACAAGTGCGTACATTTTGTTATATCAATATTTATAATAAAATTGAGAATGGAAATGGGGAATGTGTCAAAGAGACAACAACCCGACCATAGAACAGACAACAGCAGAAGGTCACCAACAGGTCTTCAATGCAGCGAGAAATTCCCGCACCCGGAGGCGTCCTTCAGCTGGCCCCTAAACAAATATATATACTAGTTCAGTGATAATGGACGCCATACTAAACTCCAAATTGTACACAAGAAACTAAAATTAAAAATAATACAAGACTGGCAAAGGCTAGAGGCTCCTGACTTGGGACAGGCGCAAAAATGCGGCGGGGTTAAACGTGTTTATGAGATATTTGTACGTTTCAAAATGTCCATAATTATTGACAACGAGTAATTACTTACATTTTCCCCAATTTACGTTTGGAAAATATGTAAATATATTTTTATTTGATCAAATCTTTTTTTGGAATTATTTAGATTTTCATAAATGTTCTTTACACCATAAATGTTATTTATAAACAAGCGTATGAGTTTAGTCATATATATAATGGCTATTATATCTATGGTTTAGTAAAGACTAGCATATCATTATCGGACACGCAAGACAAAGATGTATATTCACCTGATAGTTTCAAAATGGAAAGTTACAAGTTATCGGCCGTGTACACTTCTCAATACCCTCAGAGGTGAAGTGATGCACGAACTTGCTTTATGTAATTGTGTATTAAGAGTTTTAAAGCCCGACAGGAAATCGCTTGAATACCTGGACGTGTCAACTCACAATACCTCTGGGAACAATTCCTTTAGCAATGCTGGTGATCAGATAAGGGAAGGTCCGAATTTATTTAAATAAGATTATTACATAAATGAATTATGAACACACTAGATTTTCAAAACATTTTTACACGGAACACTTAATTTATCACTTTGAACTTTTTAACTAATTTCCATTAACATTTCTTGTTTCAAAAACTTAGTAAAAAAAAAACAGTTTCAAAACGACAGACCATAGTACTAGTTATTCCAAAAAAAAATTATATATAATTACATTTTCCGTATCAAGTTAGTTAGGAAAGGTTGCATGCACAACCATGTCTATTATAATCTTTTTTTGTGACCCGGGAAACTGTTTAGGCTTTCCTTGTCGGGTAAAACAACCGTACGCTTGACAAGATATCGACACTCAATTACGGCTAGGTTAGGTTATTGCTTGTTTTGGTCCTTTGTGGTTTATAGATATATCGTGGTTTTTATTCAGGGATGATGTCAAAATGGCCGCACGCGGAGAAGTGATACTCTAAATTTAAAATCGATGGCGATCTCTTATCTAGCAGAATTAAACTTTAATATTTATGAATTTGTGGTTTTTTATACATAATCAACATAATATCAATTTTTCATTTTTTTGCGAAGTTTCCCTTTAAACCTATATTTTTCACGATAAAAACCGTTCGACGTAGTCTTGTCGCCGAGATTTCCAGTGTATTATGGTAGAATGTTGTTACATTTTAGTTTATTAATTCCCAGATGTATTATTCCTAAATTAAACAAAAATTGATGGGCCACAAAAAATAAAAAGTAAGTTTTTATATTGACTTTTTTGTATGTTTCTGTATTTCACATGTCTCATTCAGACGTGGATTGATTTATTTTTTCAGATGAATTATTGTTTATTTTGTTTACAATATTATAAATTACCTCGGACAGGTGTACCAAAGAGAACAACCAGTACACATACTGTAATATACTTTTGTTCCATTGATGGTTTTACATACAATGTTCTTTGTATATATTCAATACTGCAAAAACAATAAGTTCATGTGTAAAAAAGTGTAAGTAGACACAAAACGACTCAAAAACTATAAAGAAAAAATGACAAAAAATGACAAAATCGAAAACAGATTCGGAACGAAATGTAAATATAAATATACCTGAACAATACTCACGAATATATAATGATCGGATCAAGCCAGGTTTGAAAGTCAAAATCATTTTTTGTTTGTTCGGAAGTTGAAATCTAAACAAAAACATTTCAAAAAATTGTGCCAAAATGAGCCAAATATGCATGACTTTATAAGGCCTTCTATACATTTCAGTAGAAAAAAAAAAAAAACGTAACAATTATTCTGATTGATTTAAAAGTTAACAAATTAACAACAATTACATATGAAGGATATCCATGTCAAAACACTGATGACCATCATGGATTGATTGACTTCATAAATCGCCACAAAAGTATTTTTCACAATGATTAATTTTTAAATGGACAATTCCAAAGTTCCGTTTAAAAGTTGACAATATTCAAAACAATTAGGAGAAATGTAAAAATATAAATTAGTTGCTTTCATTCGTTTCTTAAACTCGAGTTTATAGAACTATGACTTATCCATACCAAACATTTAAAATCTGCAATTTAATCACAATCAAGTTATATTGGTACTTACATGGAACATATATTGTATCTGTGTAAGTTATTCCCTCGGTATGAACCTGTATTCGTATGGTTAACATGGTTAATGTACGTATTTATATAGCTAGATAAATGAGCACGGGACACTTACGCATATTTGTTTATGTTGATGTTTATAAATAGTATGAGAAAAACCTTCGGCTTATTGGTTTTTGAAAATTTACATCAAAAACGAAAGTACAAATGTACACAATGATAAACTTTTCAAATCGCTTTAGTAATGTCCGCATTTGATAAATTAATATTCGGACATGTTTTAAGAAAGTGCATTAGATACATAATTTATTTATACCAGCATTTATGAGAACTTTTCAAGTCACAATTTAATACCCTTAATCATGTTAATAGAATACTCTACTGATCTGAAGTTCCAGTATAAAGTAAGATGACATTCCCAGCAGTATGACTTATTGTAGTTAATGGTGTACCTTGTCTTATTATCTATTCAGATAACAGTCATACAATTTATTATTTGAGTCAACGTAGATCTTTATATGAGAAAAGACGCTCTATTCCCACAGTTATCATGCTTAAATGTTTCATTGTTTCCCTTGCATATATATATTTTGTTTCTATATGATTGGGATTATCCCTTTAATTTTGGTATCGATCTTCTCTCTTTAAATCTGAACCATTCCAACCTAAACTCATTCAAAAGTGTTTGTTTTCGACTGCCCTCTTTTTAAATTTACCTTGGAGTTCGGTATTTTTGTTACACTTTCATTTTTCTATTATGCATTCATTGACATACATGAATGTATATAACGGTTAACCTCGGGACTTAAAAAACGTAAATTTGTCCAATGTCACGTAGAAATGAAGTTTAAGTAATATTACACTAAAACCCCTTCCCCCTACCCGTCCAAACCTCAACAACAGGAATAGCGTCTTCAATAGACAATTAAATATACTATATACTATATTATATCGTTGATTGATTAGTGTGCATTGCCTCTTTCAGCGCAATTCGTGTGCATTTTTTATTGGAAGAGAAAGTCGGAGTGCCCGGAGGGAACCACTGACCTTCGGCAGGAAAACTGACAAGACTAGGCAATGGTGATTGTATTCAAGCGCACTTGTCAAGCGCAAGGTTCGAACTACTCAGACTACTCGGCTACAGAGGCCGAATATAGTTTATTAAATACAAAATAAGGACACGTGGTATGATTTCCAATTAGGCACCTATCCAACAGAGTCAGAATGAAGCGAATTTAAGTAAGTACATGTCCCCGCACGGTCCTATACAATGCACAAAAACCATAACGAAAAGTCAGCCTTTAAAGGACCTGACATGACAACATGTGAGAAACCTACGACCTGATTTACGACAAAATAATAAGCGAAAAACCTATATCACAGACATCAACCAACGGCAACAAATGAAACACTGGCAAATATACATCATGACGGGGTTTAGCCAAACCTCCGCCTAACCTGGGACAGTGGTTTAATAGCACTTTTTGGTTGATGAACCATTATATGTTTTGTATTTTACCTGACACTTTTTGCATATGGTTACTAAGTCAGTTGTCATAATATGAAAAAAAAAAGCACTGGTAAAATTCTAACCAATGTTTAGGATTGAATTAAATCTTGTTGTTGTTTGATTTCGGTGTGTATGGTTTCTTAGACAGCTAGAGGCAAATAATGTTTGCATTTCTTTATTATATTATGTGTAGGTACGTTAATTATGAGCTAAGAACATAAGAAGTTCGTTTTAAGTAGGCTTTGAAAAAGATCGAACAAATATACCTCATAGTGGGTAAAAGTTCGCAAGCAGGCAACATCCTTTAGATTAATGATTGTTAGCTATATTGATAATTCAGAATCATCATAGAATCTTGAACTTAAATTAAGTGTAAGTTCACACTTTTGATATGTCATTTATATGCAAAAGTGACATCCCTTTGTACTTTGTTACAATTCCAACAGGTCTGGCTAATCGATGAGTTTATTGTCTCCCTTGAAAAAGTTCAGTATGCGTTTTGATACGTTTAAAAATATCATATATATCAATATATGAAACTTTCATTATTATTTAAATATAATCTAACTACAACATTGTGAAACTGTCTGATTAAGCGACCTACTCCAAAATTAGAGTAGTACATCTGCCACAAACTAATCTTATGATTGTAAATTATAAAAGACGACGAATAGCTAGCACATGTGGAGTAGGTGTCGCTAGTGAGTTAAAACACCGACACATCATATCGATCAACTAATTCGTGATAGTGACCGGAAAATTTATGTTGTATCGATTGCAGTCATTCTTCCTCATAACTTTATTGAATCATTTGTATTTGATGTGTTACGAGCAGTCCCTTGCTAACGAAGTTTGCAAATGTGCACAAGCACTAGCGTTACTTATTCATTGAGATATGTAGACAGGATACCATGGTGCAGATGTTTGTTTACTGTTAATAAATTGGAAGTTGACAATTGGAAAGTTGCAATCATCAAATTTATCATTGATTCTAGTTTCAATCCGTTCCTCTCTGTCAATATCGAAGAAAAGATCAAGAAATAATGACTCATAATAGATACCAGGATTAAAATTTTGTACGCCAAACGCATGCTTCTTATTCAAAAGATTCACCAGCGACGCTCGAATAAAAAAAAACAACAAAAAAACAACAAAAAAACAACAAATAAAGTACAAAATTGAAGAGCATTGACAATCCAAATTTCCGAAAAGTTTTGCCTAATACAGCTAATTTGATGATATTAATTTAAGAAATAATCTGAAATTAAGAAATCTATCTCCCTCGTGCAAAGCTCTGATTCCGTGCCCGACGTTGGTTATATTTTCTTTCTTTTTGGTTTATAAGCTCTTCATTGTTTTTGGATTTTCAAATATTTTGGCCTCGGACATCACTCAAGATACATTTATTGTCGAAATGCATATCTGGTTCAATTAAATGGGTACCCGTTATGTTATTAGCTATAGAGTGGCAGGACTTCATCGGTATATCTTAAAGTGAAATTAAAGATCTTGGATAATTTATTTTCATTTTATCAATGATAATGTTCTGTATGCATTCTGTTTCATATGTTACAAAGACAAATCGCCTAGTAGTGGTGCATAATTCGTACCCGTTATATCAACCCGCCATATGTTGACGATAGAAAATTTCCAGCATTTTTATGATATTATGTTTGGTATATTTGTTGTGGGAATCAGTGTGGTTCAATACAAAAGAAGATTTTTTCAAGGACTCTCTCCAAAAAAGTAATTTGTATCTACAATTCCATTTATTTAAAAAAAAGTTTTCAAATGAGACTATATTTCTATTTTAGTTGATTAAATTTGAAACTTCATCTACACCAAAATAATACAACAAAATATTCATATCTTCGCTACAACAAACAACAGTCATATCAGCGCAATGTTTACAAAGCTCATCCTCATGGAAGGACTATCTGACCTTACAGATGAAGTGGCTTATAAACGGAGGTTTAAAAATGCATAGGTATATAACATCGGGACAAATGTGTGACCTGACAAGGTAGTACTTACTAGAGGTGACCTTTAAAGTACAGTTGTATCATAAGAATTTACATAAGAAAACTTTACTAAGGTGTAATACCAACAAATCAGAGTACGTCACATCCGGTTGAATATGAAAAAGGGTCGAAAAAATATTCCCTTGAATTTGACAGTGGTAGGAAATTATCTTGGGTGTTTCAAAGTGCCATCCTATTTTTATTTGGTGCTTCTATAGAATATTTTGGAAACTTAAAGTTACATGGTTACTAAAGCATGTAAACAGGACAAAAAAAGGGCGAACATTTGATTGGTTAACTTCGAGTAATGGTTTTAATATTATATGCAATGAAATGTGATGTGAAATCTTGACTGAAGTACTGGACAGTACAAAACTTTACTCGTGCCAAGTATTTCTTTATTTGAAACAAAATTAAATTCTGCACAATTGTTTGAAAAGGGCAAATTTAACAAATTATAATGGATATTACACCTCAAACAAATTAACATATAGTTTCAAAGAAAAAATCTGGAAAATTCAGTTACAGCGTCACTGTGTAAGAAAGCAAATTTATCGATTAAAATCAATACATATGAAACTGAGACAAGATACTTAAATCAAGGTATAGAAAAGGCTAGAGTGGAAAAAACTGTTAATTTGTTAAATATGAGAAATCGTGTGTGTTATTTTATTTTTATCTACAAAAACGGTGATGCTAACAATTTGCGAAAAATTAACCGCATTAAATAACAAGGAATGGCATAGGGAAGTTTGCACTGATCGACGTAACTCACAGAACGGACACAAATTGCGTACGTATAGGCAATACAAACAACGTTTGAAAACCAAACATAACGTCCGTCTGAACATTTTCAAAAGTGGGCGACGTACCATGGCTCTGATACGCTCCTGTACAATTCCATATGCACGTTAGACATGAAGCTACTACAAGCCCCCTTCACCCATTGAACACAGAACATGTATGTTGTATGAATCCAACAGCGTGGAAACAGAAAAACACTTTCTAAAGGAATGCCCATTATATAACAATCTCTTTAATGAATCATCAAAACTAATTCAATACTTTTAAAATCTTTATATCAACAGAAAATTATTGAAATTACGAATTGGCCCAATATCCAGTATTATTTTTGCAATTTTTTACACGAATTTTATTTGCGTAGAAAATTATTTTTACAGTAATATTTTTTTAATGAATTTTTAATGCATTAATTTAACAGATTTTTATCCAATCTTGTTCATTTTATAATATTTTATAGTTTATATTTTTTTTAATTCATTAAAAATTCCTTTATTTTCAAGTTTACAAGAGCATTAACAAGTTTAAATAGTATATTTTTGTATATATTTTGGTTTAAAGGATCAGTGTCTCATCAGTCATTTTTTAGTTAGATATTGATTGTTATTTCTGAGTATATAAATGTTATGTGAATGTCTTGTTTCAATTAATATGTGACACTATAACAAATAAATGCTATTCTTTTTTTCTATAAATTCATGAAGATAAGAATATGGGGTAAATGCCAATGAAAAAAGCAACAAAACAACACACACACATAAATAAAACAACAAACAATAAACGAAAGCAACAAAAACCGATGGAACGAGCGAA